ATTTTTAATGTTTAAATTAAAGTATACATGATGCTTTCAAAATTCAAAAATTTTGCGAAAATTGTGGTAAAGGTGAAACTTCCCTAAGTTGTTGTTCTGCATATCTAATCAAAAGGTCAGTGAGCAGTGATTCCCAACCAACACCATTCATGTACTTGTATCATTACATTGCAAATCACTATTCCCTTAATAAAAAGTTAAAACTTGAAGAAACACTTGAATTACAAGGGTAAGAGAAACAGTAAACCAACAACAAATTATATTAAAATTTTAATTATTATCATCAAAGCATTTATATAAAAAGATTACATTAAAATTTTAATTATTATCATCAAAACATTTATATAAGGTATTCAATGAGAATAAAATTAAAATTTTAAAAAAATTTAAATTTTTTTAAAAAAATTTTAAATTTTTTTAAAATTTAAAAAATTTAAATTAAAATTAATATTTTAATTAATATTTTTTAAAATTTATAAATTAATTATTAATGTTTTATATTTTAGTCAAGAAGAAAAGAGTATATAATACTAGTAGCATTAATTAAAGTACGGAAGTGGTTGAAGAGTTAATTTAATTAATTATTAATGAAAAAAATAAAAAGAACTGACAAGCCCTTGCCTTGGTAATGGACATAATTAATGTTAACAGTTAATTAAATTAAGGAAAGGCACATGGTGGTTGCTTGATATGAGCAACATTCCAAAGCCTGAAGTCAGCAATAAACAGGGAAGACATAATTTGAATGTAGAGAAAAAGGAAAAAGGAGGGGACAGACACAGTCTGAGAATCGAGAGAATGTCATTAAATTTTGTGAAAACAACAACAGAGCATGGGATGGAATGAATGATGATGATGATTACGTACTCAAACTGCTTGCGCTTTGATTTTTGAAGGAACCATTATTCTTGTTTGTGTGAAGCATCAAATCACTCAATGTGCTAGCCTGCGACCTCCTTGAGGTAGAAAACGACATTCAAATTCAAATTGAAACTAACAAACAATTTCATCGTTGTGGTACTAAAATAAAAGGGAAAATAATCAATAAATCTTATCAAAATAAACAAATAACAAATAAATATTACAAAATACTATAATTACTTTAAAGTTTTTAGAAATTTAATTGATATAATTTTTTTTACAAAATTATATTTCTGACTCTACACAAAATATAAAAAGCATATAATAACAACTATGATTCATATATTAATATTTAATAATTTTAATTTAAGTTTCAAATAACTATGCTTTTTTATTATTTTGTAGGGTTCAGAAATGTAATTTTAAAAAAATTATAACAGATAAGTTTCTCGGCACTTCAAAACAATTATACCATTTTGTGATATTATTTTATCACTTGTCTATTTCTATGAAAAAATGATTGGTATATGGGTAAATTTATTTATTTTTAAAATTATCACACGGAATATGAATTGGGGAGAATAACAAATAAATCCCATATTAATAGATAAATGATAAAAGAGCACCACAAAATGGAGTAACCACTTTAAAATTTTTAAGGACTTATCTGACATTATTTTTATAAAATTACATTTCTGATCCTCTACAAAATAATAAAAAATATAGTTGTTAAAATCTAAACTAAAGTTATTAACAATAAAGATAAAGTTATTAACATATGAAATGTATAGTTATTATTACATTACTAAACTGAAATTATAACTAGCTATGTTATTAACACCTAAACTAAACAACAAGTTGAAATTGTTAAGAATGGACGTATAAATTTGTTATTATGTAACAAAACTAACAATCGCGCTCTCCACAGGAACAAATTTACCTTCCTATATCAAAATTCAATGAAAGTATTTGCACACACATATATATATAGTACATAATAAAACAAAAATATTGGTTAATTATCATTATTATTTCTCAACTATCCATTTTTACTTTTTAATTTTATTTGTATCATTTTAATTTTCTCTTTACTTCTATTATTTTATAGACACGAGACGCACACACTGACACACAAAAGTTGTATATTAATTTTAAAAAATAGATAAGAGTAATGTATAAATTTCATAAAATTAACTCAACATGTATGGCTTACAATAAATAAAAATATGGGTTTAATTATCATTTTTTATTTTTCAATTAAACTATCATTTTTACAATAATACAAAAATATTGGTTCGATGAACACTATAATTTTAATATTTTTTAAATTATTTTTGATATTTTTAACCGTACAAAAATTCAAAAAAAATCACGAAGAATCAAATTAGCCAAAGAATTTAACTTGATCAACAAACAAGTAAAAAAAAAAAAAGGTTTAGGGATGAAGAAGAATAATAAAAATATCAAGAACAGAGCATAGGAAGAGGCGAAGATTCTCGTTCTTTGTTGTATAAAGAAGAAAAGTGTCATCCTATACTAATCATTATAATTGCCTTCGCCTTTTTTGGCCTTTAGCCCTATCAACGTGTAGAGGTGGACTGCATACCATACTCTTGCGTGTGTGGGGGTAGAGAGAGAGAGAGAGAGAGAGAGAGAGAGAGAGAGACAAACACAAGGAGATACAGAGAAAGTGAGAGTGAGAGAGAAGATGATGGGGTCATTAGTTGGTGAGCAGTCAGCTTTGTTAAACCCTCACCGACAGTGATTTTACTGTCTCTTAATATCCGTTGTAGCGTAAAAATCCGGTTCAACTCGCTCGGTTAAATTAATAAACCATTAAATCAGTATATATCTTAATTGATTTGATTTTTTTTTCTTTTGGATAAATGAAGATAGTAAAGACAATGATCTACAAATTAAAGATGAAGCAAGCTAAGTTCTTTCAATAAAGTAGAGTTTGGGGGGAAACTTAAGAGCCCATTTGGCCAAATGAGCCTTCATCGATTTAATAAAATACTTTATTTATGATTGATTTGATAATGATTTGATTATAATTTTAGTCATTGATTCTTAAATCAGTGTCTCAATTAGTTTAATGAGCGATCTGATTTTCAATACTTTGATTATTACCAAAGCAAAAATAATAAAACTAGACTAGTTATCAAACTTTTTTAAACAGTAAATCAAGAGCTAACAATCTTTGTCAAGGTTAAATCAGAGATCAACCTAATCATAATTTTTTTAACTCAAAATGATTTTGTTTTAGACTCAACAAAGTGAATATATATATATATATATAATCTAACATATTAATTCATTCAAAAACTCTTAACCCAAATGATTAGGAGATTGGTTTATCGGTTTACTAATTTGACTAGCCAATTCAAGTTTGATTTGAATACTAAGAATATCATAATAATAATAATAATAATAATATTACTACTCTCTCTCTCTCTACTTTTCTACCCAAAAAGCCAAAACACTCCTCCACTTAATTTAATCTTTAACTTTTTTACTGTTTGCAAAATGCAATTTGGTGGGTCTGTGGGAATTTGAAACCTATCTTCATCATCAGAAGCATATATTCTTGTTTCAATTTCAAACACCTTCCTGGATATGTAATTATGTATCTCATATTAGTTTTACATATCTGTGTCACAATGGCTGTCCTGTTTATTTTATATATTTTTAAATTTAAACTTTAAATAGTCAATTCTGAAGAAAATCAATGTTGGATTTTCCAAGGAAATTATTAATGATGAGGGAAATAAAAGAAACAGAGAGTTTTCCATAATTGGCAACCTCTGCTTTTTTTTTTTTTTAACTTGAAGGCTGAAGCATCTTTATATATATATATATATATATATTAGAAAACCAAGAGGGTCCATCTTAATACCGTCATATAATTGCCTCGTGAGGATAATAAGTACCCTATCAATTCGACTATATTTTCTATTGTCATTTAAAAAAAATGAATTTTCAAGCTTATCATAATTAAAGAATCACAAAAGTGATTACTTTGCTTTACATTTTGTTTTGTGGGATTATAAGGAGTCACTGCGCTGATCATTATCCAAGCTCAGAGATTTATTAGTAGCAGATTAAGTCATAGATATTGCACTTTTTTTAATATAAAAAAATCATAGTAATATATAAAAAGTTATATACCAACCTATAGTTAGTTTGAGTCAACTCAAGTAAGACCATAAGTTAGCAATATTTTTTTTGATGATATTATATGTATATATATATAAGTGAATTGGATTTTAAAAGTTTATCAGGTCAAGGCATGCCTTCAGATTCAAAGAATGCTTATAAAAATATTTACAAATTAATCACCAACAAAACACTTTACATCGCCAATGAAATTCAATTCCACGACTTTATAAGTTATGAAATAAATCTTTACCAAGTAAAATAATCTTTGTCGATTATATATAGTTGTATATCAAATTTGAACTTGATATCACCGATAAGGTTAACACAACTTCTTACCAATTGATTTATGCATTTGTTTACATGATCTCTATTCATATAACAAACTAAACTAATGCATGGAAAAAGATTTTCACTTTATTTCGCAGTGGGGTTCAAGTTCTAATCATCAATTCAACATGGTGTGTAATAAACTGAACTATGTTTTGAAATCTGTAAGTTGATAAACAAGAAACATGATAGCTCAAGTTCAACAAGATGTTAGGATATATATATATATATATATATATAATATTTGGTCGGAAGACCGCAATGACATTGACATGAAACAGAAAGCTGATTGCCTTTGGAGAGGAGAAAGAAAGAAGACTTGGTCAACCTTACGTTGAATCATGTGAGGACAGTTTCACAGAGACATATTTCAAACATTCTAAAACAAGGTAGGTAGGTATATATCTGCATCCCACTATGGACCCAAATTTTCTCATACCCAAAGCAAAGCTTTCCCATGTCTGAAATTTGCACACATAAAGATTAACCGCAGCTTTAGCCATTCAACAAGTCAATTCACAAGTACCTTTCTAACTTTAAACACATATATAGATAGATATGGATATAGATATACCCGTTAAACTTTAAAACCGTTTCATGGTGAATGATGGGGATTAAGTAGGTCAAATCATGTGAGGCTGAGGCTGAGGCAGTTTTGATACAAAATTCAATCTCCATCAATGTCCCAAAATCCTCCCAGTGAACAAAATACAGAAGGAGGATTAAAGAAAATTAGGACCAAAGCCAAGAAGAAGAAGATGAAGAAGAAGAAGAAGGAAAAAAGGGTAGTGGAAAGAATTCGATCAATCCTAAGATTAAAATTCCTAAGAAGAAGAAAGAAAGAGAGACAAAAGATGTTACACTGAGGATGTATCTACAAGAACCTCATTCAACACATCATCCTCATCACCGTTTCGTAAGCTAAATATCTCTGCCTCTTTGTCTTCATCACTGGAAAAATCCCTCCTTTCGAGTTTTGAATGAGCAGCAATGAATACGATCTTCTGTGCTCGGTCCATTGCGATCCGGGAACGTCCATGTCCGCAGATCCATCTCAACAAAGACAAGTTATTATTGCATTTGACTCCACATGAAGTTGCATGAAGGAATATTAACCTCACTGCAATTTTTCCTAGAGACTTGAACTCTGTGAGGTAAGTCTCCCACACAATCCTGCTGCTTTGTGGATTAGCAATCTTCATCTTCCCTGTAATAGGATCCCGCTCCTTTATCTGTACAGCTTGAGCGTAAACCGGGTCGAGCCCTTCGGTTCTCCATTTCATGAGCTCCATTAAAGCAATGTGAGCTTCATCTCCAGAAACAAGTCTGGTTATGAGCTTGTTCACATCTTTCTCTTGCTCTGGTGTCAAGCACTTGAATGGTGGAAGGTACTTACCACTTGTGTCTCTTACCAGATAAAGAGGATCCAGAATATAAGCAGCAGCCCAAGCAGGGTGATAATTCTTCTTGAAACGTTTCTCAATCACATTGTTGACTGATTCTTCTTCTGCAATATGGAATTTTGAGAACCAGATTTTGACTTTGGCTCTTAGTTCATCCCAAAGAGGAAGACATTGACCAACCAGTGGTCTCTCTGTTTCAATCTCACGAGCCATGTCCTTCACCAACTTGACCAACGAGTGCATTGCCTCTAACTCATTCCAAAAACTCACATCACGAATCATGTTTTCAACCTCTCTCGCAGTTGGGTCTTCAATGGATAACATCTTGAACGATTCATCGAGCAGAATCAGCTGTAACGCACGGGTTGAGCTTAATATATCCTCTATCATTGTATATACATGCCTGAAGTTGAAAACTTCAAAGTCTCTTCTTGATGGTGCTCGTAGTAACCAGGCGTGCCCGTACTCTTGCATTTGATATTTTTGGAAACTATTGCGAATCTGAGACTTGTGATTCACAAAACTCGCGAGCTTCACACAATTCCCTGTGACAGTCCTGAACAAGTGAAGCTCCGTGTTGAAATCCTTCATCAGAGAATTGAAACCTTGATATTGACAAGAAAGATTAACCATCCAATGATTCTGATTCTCTAAATTCTTCAAAGCTTTGGACTTGAACTTGTCTGCAACTATCCCAACACACCGTTGTGGGACGCTGCCACAAATGCCAGAGATTGTCTCCCACAAGACTTCTTCTGCATAGTTAGAAGGAGCAGAAGAACCAGTGAAGAACACAGCCTTTCTGTACAAACTTGTCCCATTGGGAAGATTCACACTCAAATTCACAACATTTTCTTCAGAATAATTCTTGGTATTGCCTTTCCACCCATCAGAAGCTATCTGAAAGAACATAGCATCTCTGATTCTTGCTTCTGACTCGGCCTTCACTTCCCTATACTTCGCGTCCAATCTAGAACCGGTGAATTCTCTACAAGAAATTGCAGGCAAACCGACCTGGTTAAGGAAAGCTTTAAACTTCGGATGCTCCAAACTGGAAAACGTCACCGACCCACAAGACTCGTAAACCCAATCAGCGAGATAATCGATCGCGCTATCGATTTGGGTTTTGTTAAGATTCGGTGCTGCTTGAGACGTTTTAGGACTTTTCAGCTTCTTAATACTGTCTTCCAACATAGCTAAAGCTCCCAAATCATCCTTCCCACCCGACAACATCAAATGCGGTTGCTGCTGTCTGGCTGTGACCAACGATGTCGATGTAGCAACAGACGAGGTTGCTGACGGGTACGTCGGGATGTCACCGCCGATGAACCGAGGCGGATTTACGACGGCAAGCGGCTGAACCTGATACGACATAGCAGCAGAAGAAGAGGAAGTTCTCTTTCGGTGGTTGTGGTGAGCGGAAGAAGAAGGCGAAGAAGACAAAACCGGAGATGTGGGTGAAATGGACGAGATGGGTTTTGCTACAGAATTGAAATTGGGGCAAGTTCCACGCTTAAGATGCTCTGAAGCTGTTCGAGAAGGATTGGAGGCTGAGAAGACGGCGTCACAGAGAGAGCATCTCAGCTTCACCGCCTTGGGAAGCCCAGTTTCAGTGTTGTGAACCAGCATGGGTTCTAGGTGTGACCAATACCAAGCCCCTTTACCTTTCATTGCCTTGGCTCGAACCATGACCAGGCTTTCATAACGCTTGTTTACTGCTTTTGCAGTAAGCTCGTCGGCCGACGGGGAGTCCATAGCCGGAGTAGTAGAAGAAGGCGTGTTTGTGGTGGCAGCCATTGCTACTACTTATATTTGCTAATACCCAAATGGAAACTTCCGAGTTTTCTTTCTCTTTTTTTCTTTTAGTTTAGGGAACGATTTGATAGCTTATTCGTCATCGTCGTGGTCCCTCTAAGATTCAATGGCTATATTGAAACGGCGACGAGTGCGGTGGATGAACCGGGAAATACAGGTGGCGACGGCCGGAATTTGAATTTCCTGTGGGTTTCCATGGCGGAACCGGTGATCTGATCAGGATTCTCCGCAAATTTCGACGGATTTTGGGAATGATAAGGAGAAAGAAGAATGGGAGTTGTCTGGTTGTTGTATGAATGAACATGAACCAGGAAAGTTTTGAGCCTATGACGAGTATAAGAGAGTGATTTGAGCGAGGAAGGTGCACTAGTCTGAGAAAGTTGACGCGCTTTTACGTGATGAAGATCTGCGCGTGGGGAACATTTATCAGCGATGTTGAGGAGAAGAGGTACAACGAGGTAGCGCTGGAAGTCATTCCCACGTAAGAACGCAGAAGACGAGGATGGTCGTCACCTCCCATTGATTGGGAAGTGGATTTCACGCGTCCCCATGGGGGTTCGTTTTGGCATGCGCTCATGTTTTGTGGCTTTTGCATTATTTTATATATATATATATATATATATAATATAAAAGTTACAATACCATCATTATTTATTAATCTTAACATGAAGTAAAAATTTCAAAAAGTCTCACTATCTGTTTTTAAGTCTTACATATTATAATATAAAATAGTAACACTAGTTTGTATTACCTCCTAGCAAAATATTGAACATTTTGTAATTTGTACAATGATTAAACAAAAATATCGGACAATTTGCCAAAAAAAGTCAATAGTATTATTTTCTTTAACAAATATTTTTGTTAGTTATATTACAAAGAGAGATTATATAGTCATTAAGATATATTAATTTTAATTAGACAACAATTTTGAGAAGTAATGATAGTTTTTATCATTTTTTATGATGCAAATTACTTTTAACTATTTTTCTTTTAATTAAAAGAGTATTATATTGTGAATAAGAGATAATATACTTTTACATTTATCATGTTTCTAGTAATTTTAAAAATTATTTTTTATAATTTTAAATTTCATAAAATAAAATTTTTTCTTCAAGTTTTTAAATTTAAAATTATATTGTGAATTTTACTTTTCATTGTTAAAGTTTCTCCTTTTTTTTTCCCCCATTCTGGGGTCTTGTCCATGGTCTTCAGTCTTCACACTTCTGCGGGGAAGGGTCTTCCTTTGTCCGTTTCATTCCCCACATTTTTTAATAAGAATGTCTACTTTATTTTTTATAATACATTTTTCATTTTTGTGTTTAGCATTTTGGCTTTCTAAACGGACTAACGGTAGGACTTTGTAGAAATTTCTATAAATATAATGGACATTTAATATGTGCAAAGACTTCAGATATAAAAGAGTAGATAAATTTATAAATTTTTTTTTGTAGTTCAATATTCAAAATTAGATGCAAATGCATTCAAATGTAACCTAAAAACTAGTAAATTAGACATGAAGGTAAATTTATGAAAAATATTGCTCGAATTATTTAATTTCTTAGGTTTCTTTCTTTTATTTTTCAAGAAAATATATTTATTATATGTTATTTCATTGCAATTGGTTTGTCATTATTTAATTATTCATTATTATTTATTTACTTTAATTTCTTATATACTTGTTTTTTTTTAAATTTATATGAAAAGTATTTTACCAAAACAGAAATTCTATGAAAAGTAGGATCCCCAAAGACTTAAAAGAAGTATTTTTAATTTAAATAAAAATTAACATAAAAATATGATATAAATATTTGATTGAACTAAATTTAAGCATTGTTAGATATATTAAAAGATAACTCTTTAAAAAATATTTTATACTTTCATGTAAATTTAAACTTGAAACTTCCTATTTAAACAGTCATAATCCATTTCAATAATATTAACACCTATTGGTGAAATAATGCAATTCATTGCTATTAAAAATAGTTTTCAATCTAAATTTCATTTCCTTCCATGATATTCTAAAATTAAATCATGGATGACCTTTGAACACATCATAATTCAACCTATCTAACTTTTGAGTTATAGTCTATCATAAGTGTTAACAAACAGAACACCTTATTTAATTTATACAGTAAAATTTCATTTTCCAACCAAAACAATACTTTGATGATTTTTTTAGCAACAATATAATTAAAATGTGAGTTTTTTTGTGAGAAAAATTTGACCATTTGTTAGTTGAAATAGTGTGTTATTTATAATTATTCTTTATATTTTTGTTATTTGATAAAAGCCTTACTTCAATCAGGAACATCATTATAACTTCAAATTTTAGTAAACTGCTAATCATATGATATTTTATCACCAAAACAGCAAGCTAATCACTTTTAGACACTTATATAGAAATATCATTACTCTTTTTGTTTTTTAATATATGAGTAGAGGCATAAAAATTTTAGGGAGATTCTCACTTAGGGTCCCTAGAATATATATACAAAAAATTTATGTTTAGAGCCCAATAGAATCTGAAAACGCACTACAAATCCAAAGGCTTTTCTTGCAAATTTTGTTATGGACGAAAAGATACATTTGCCCTTATCTCAATAGAATGTCCACATATGCACAACACGATATTTATGAATTTTTAACACAATATTCATAAATGTACAGCACATTTGATGGACATTAACTTGAACTATGTTATTTCAGTAAAAGTATGTTGTTCATTATAAACTTTATATTGTACAAATGTTGCAAGTCTACATGTGTTGATTGTGTTGAGATTGATGGATATTGTATCATATATTCATGGATATTGTATTATTCATCCTTTGCTTATTAATACATTTCCCTTCAAGTTAATCTATATCCACCAGATGTATTGTGCATTCATAAATATTGTATTGAAAATTCATAAATATCGCATTGTGCATACATAGACATTCTATTAAGATAATGTTAAATATGTAATTTAATTTATAACAAAAATTGCAAGAATGGTCATTGGGCCTACAGTGCATTTTCATATTCCATTAGGCCCTAAATGTAAATTTTTGCATTCTGGGGGCCTAAGTGAGATTCTCCCACTAAATTCTAAAGTCCAAATCAATATTTGTTCGGTACATCCAACCCTAAAATCCAAGGCCACTTGATAATATGTTTAGGTGAAAGTTTGTTAGCGAAATTACAGATTACAGAATCAATTAACTTTTAATACAGGACACACACGTATCTCACGTTAATTTATTAGTCATCTTTGAATAATTATGCATTGTGAAGCATCCATGCTCACTTAAAAGATGTACAAAAGTAGGGCTCTACCTTATCATTATTTTTTTAAAAAAAATTGGTGAATATGTATTAGGAAAAATGACATTTAAAAACCCTCTAAGAACATTATTTATTGTTAAAGATTCTAAAATTACAACAAAAAAAAATAAAAGAGGACCATAATTCTTACCTAAAATTAACGTTTTTTCGTAATTAATGTTTTCGATACTTATCATCCATATTTTCAATATTTATCATTCATACTTTAAGTACTCATATTTAGCATTTTCAACACTGAAACCATGAAAAATAAGTATTGAGAACATTTAAGGTGATCATTGAAAAAAAAAAAAAACTAACTGCTGAAAATGCTAAAAATTATTATTAAAAATATATAAGATCAGTACTTACTACTACAAAAATAGGTTTATAAAATAGTTGTTTTTGTTAATATTAAATAGTTATAAACTGTTAAATAATGTGATGTTAAATATTCTTGGAGTCTTTATTCAATGGTCATTAACCATTTAATATTCTTGATTTGTTAGATAGTTTTTATTTAAAAATTTAATATGAGTTTTAGGTTTGGAGAGATCCGATCGGGGATCAATTTATAAAACAGTTTTTGGCCTCCAACCATTTAATATTCGAACAATATTGAACTATTGTGACAAAACAATTATTATATATATATATATATATATAATAGTTGTAATGTGACAACCGTTTTATATTTATACGCTGTTGTTATGGTCATAATATTATGACCAAATTTTTTAAAATAGGGGAGCTGTATTTCTAGCAACCTTTTGTGTTTTACATTATAAAAGCAAATTTCCAGCACAAAATATATACCCAAAAATAGAATTTCAGAAGCCATCACAAATGTGTTTTTGGCCTACAACCATTTAATATTAGAACAATATTGAACTATTGTGTTTTGAAATGTGTTTGAGAAGTCCAATGATTGTGTAATGATGAAGTTCAATGAAAATTGATAATGTGAAGTTCTATGAATTGTACATGTGTGAACTATGGCATGAATGTGCATTGCATGATCTTGAGAGGTGAGAGTTTGCCTAAAAAGCGGAGTAGATGATAAATCCATGTGGTAAGGCCTCCATTTGTGTGATAGATTTGCCTAGATTAATTCTATCCATATTGTCCCACTAGTTCAACGAGGAACTCGAACCTAGTTAGCTATCCACTAGTTCAATAAGAAAGCTAGTCTAGGGTGTATGACACCCCATGATGTGAGAAATGGGGAAAATAGTGATCTATAAGTGAGTTGGGTATGCCTTAGCCGGGTAATCTCCTCACAAGTATTTAGGCCAGGGAAGTCAAGAAATATAGACTATCTTATTAAGTTATAACCCACAGTTTTATGTCAGAGGAATAAATAGGATACAAGGGAGGTGTGATCATACATATAGTGAGTAAAGACACTTGTTGTCTATATTGAGTCCACAATGATGATATTTTGAGTTGAGTATTAATTTCCGCCATCATGCTTGTCAATGATTTGTGTGATCAACTCTATTTATATGAAAGGTGCTAAAAGCACTGTTTTCCAAGTGGATGCTATTATATGACTGAATTGTGAATGTCTAATTTCAATTCTCTCATATGGGTTAAAGTATTAATATTAACTGCTACTTACATTTAAATTAATTGCTATGCATTAGTATGGGCTAGTCAAAACTTGATTACTGAGTAGTTATACTTACCCCGTTACCTTTAATATTTCAGGGAATAGCTCAAGTGTGGATAGAGGAAAACACCCTGAGGCTTAGGATCTCAACTCATTTGTAATAGGCCTTCTTATTTTGGGTAACTTATGTGCATGACAATTTCAATTGCCAACTAGGATTTTCTTTTTTATTACTTACTTGCATTAAGTGAATTGTAAATTGTAATAGTATTTTAGGCCTTAGGAAGAGAGTTGATTATTATGTATTGTGATGATAGGTCCAAAATACTAATGCAAGTGAGGATAGAGAATATTATATGTTGATCTGGAAAATCTTGATGAAAATTGTGGTGAACTCTCCCTTTCTATGTTTTTGAGTTTAAAGGGTTGAGTAGTAGAAATTTGATCTAGAATTATTTCTTGTGTTTTGGTGTATTGCATGAATTAATCTTAATAATTTGTATGTGGTCATTTGGTATCGGTGGCCATTGGTCCTTGGTTTTGGTTAGGACATTTGAAATTTGTGAAAATCTATTGTAAAGGTGTAAGTTTTGAAAAGAATGTTCAATTTTTATTTTAGAAAGAATTTGAGTCAGAGACCCATGCCATTAGTTAGAGTCTAGAAAGAGCTTTTTG